GTGGCTACCTTTTTAGCCTTAGGAGATACGGAGCAGAGAGTTCTGTCAAGCCTGTCAGGACTCCGACCTCCAGAACTCTAATATAATGAATGAGTATTCTTTCAAGCGTCTGAATCTGTGGTGACTGGCTGTGGCAGTAGAAAAATAGTACAGGTATAGACGGAGGTATCTACTTGCATTGTGCAATCTTTGTTTCTCATTCAAAGGCTGGAAATGATTTGGGGGGGGTAAATATAAATTGGAAACATTCTCTCATCAGATTTATAGTTGCCCTTCCTTAACTTTAAATATACAATTCCTAAATGTGTTTATCATCAATTGTAACTTACATGAACTCGCTTAATCTGGGTATGATTAGTTACATCATCAGTTACAGCACCAAGATGGGAAGTAGAATCAGAGGCCTGCTTATGCCAAGGGGAGCTTCAAAGACAGTAGTCCTGTTGATCTGCTACGGGGTGAGCCAAGGACTTTGTCTTATTGCCTGACAGAACTGTGATTCCTTACTTGTGGATTGTATAAGCAAGTAATTCTGAATCTGTTATAATTGAAAAGGGACAGTGAAGATAAGTTTGAAGCCTAAACTTTAGGAGTTTGTATTATGTCAATGATTACCAACCAGTTTTTTCATTATCCACTAAAGAGCCTTTTAAGAGTTTTTCCCCTCCTCCAATCCTCTTCTATCTTTACTGTCCATGGAAATTTAAATGCTATAGATATGCTGTGCGTTTGTTCTGTACTTTGTGTCTATCTGTGCTAATGTAGAAGAATAAACCACTGTTTTCTTAAAAATCAAGTTTCACCTTTGGGGTCAGTATTACTCCTGCTAGAGGTACACAGGACTAGATGCTATTGTGAGTAGGTAGAATTAGAGTTGTATTTAAAGGTATTGTCAGTGGCAGGCAGGATAGTTCAGTGAGTAAAGGTGCTTGCTGCCAAGTTGGGACCCCAGTTCCATCCCTACGACCCATATGGTGGAAGGAGAGAGCCAGTTCCTACAAGTTGTCCTCTGATTCCTACACACATCTTGATGTGACCCCAATAAATAAATAAATGTAAAAGAAATCTTAAAAAGGTAGTTTCACTTTATTTGTTTGTTTATTTATTTATTTCAGTTTTGGAGACAGGGTTTCTCTATGTAGCCCTGGCTGTCCTAGAACTCTCTTTGTAGACCAGGCTGGCTTCAAACTCAGAAAGATCTGCCTATTGAGTGCTTGGATGAAAGATGTGGACGACCATTACCAGGCTTGGTAGTTTCATTTTGTAATCTAGATATTACACCATCTATGGAACTGGTCCAAGCTCGTATCAATCAAAAGATGTCTCATCTGTGTATCTTGGTTCAAAGAGTACCTCCAGAAGACCAGCCTGTGAGCACTGCTAAATATTTACACTGTTGGTATTTCCTGGGTCATCTAAGCTTTTTTTCATGATTTGAGATTAGTATCAGTATCAGTTGCCAAAAGGGAACCAGAGTCCTTATATGACACCCCATTTTCCCTTGGGTAAAAGTCATATTACAGGTTTTTTTCTTTGTCCTTCTCATTGACTGATTAGTGTGGCCTACTTGGTCCCAGGAGAGAACAGAGCAAGGCTTGTAAACTCAGATACCTGCAGGGCCTGCAATAGAAATGTGGAAGATTTACATGGTCATTAGATTCCTTTCACTGTTGACAACTGCAGCAAATCTTAATTTTTCTGGCTACGGACCTCCAGATCTAGGAATATGAGTTTTATCTTGTTCAGTTACAGTTGGGTTCTGGTGGCCCACTTGTAGCCACAGTGGTAGAAAAAAATGGGGAATGATTTCAGGTGGGGATTGTTTATTTGTGATACACTCACTGATTTGTTTACCTGATGCACTTCTGTGAAAGGCTTCAGTCACCCCAAGATTTTAGCATGCACTGTTGATGTCTTTACTCATTCCTCATTTTAGATATACCCTTATTTCTAATGGTTTCTTAGGATTGTTCACATAACATGTTCAGGAAATGCTGTTAAATGCATGGCTATTTGTCTTTACGCTGTTTGATTTTTATTGTGCATCTTGCAATGTTTGTCATTTCCACGTCCTACGTTTTTTACTGTTCTGGTTCCCTCCTTTCTTCTTACACACACACACACACACACACACACACACACACACACACACACACCATCAATATATACTAATGGTACAGAGAATCTTGGATATAAACATGCCCATGTTCTGTAAGTTAAGATCCGGTTTTCTTTTCCAAGGCAGAGTGCAGCAGCCTTTCTGAGATTCTTGGCTCTTTATTTTAGTTTTAGGATTGGGAGAGGTAGTTATAAAATGAATTAGATAGGTCTGAAGACCTAATCTTATTTCTGCATAGTTCTTGAGCAAATACAGACAAGTTCTTAGATGTGGGGTCACTAGAGAAAAAGGGAAGTTCCCAGGAGCTGTCTTGTTTCAGATCAGGGCCAGAAAAACCTTAATTTTCTTCTGCCAAGTAGCGGCTTGGCAGATTGCACTATCTTGCTGCCCTGGTCCCCAGTGTGCAGAGTTAACTTGGTAAGATGTGAGGTCCTAGCAGGTCTAGGCTTCACATTCTCTTTCACTGTGCAATTGAACTTCAGGTTGAAGTGAATAGGTTCGTTCATTCGTTCCTTCCTTCCTTCCTCTTTTTTTAAACAGATAATTAGATTTTCTTTTATTGGGAATAGCATTTTCCTCCTCAAATGTGTCACTAGTTTTTGCTATCTTGCTGGTTCTTGAATGGTCTTCACTAAGGATTTTTCTCCTTATGTTTTTGCGTTTCTCTTGGAGAGGTGTTGAGGTTCAGCTTAACTGTGCAGCTGGTTGCATCTTATGGCCTTTCTGTGTGCAAATGTTTCTAAGAAGCAAACAGCTTTGACTGTTCTAGCTTGGCAAGTTTTTTCTTTCTAACCACCATTGGGTAGAAGCTGGGAACCAATCACAGCTTGAAATCTTGTGGGTTGGATGCTGGAATTCAGGGCTAAACTGTCAAAAGCTAAATTTATTAATGTTGAGCTATTTTCCTCCAATAAATAAACCTGAAAAATAGTGAAATTTAACTCCTGGCAGTCCATAAAATTGTATATTTGTGTCCACACACACACACTCATACACAGCTAACAAGAAGGAAAATATACTAAGAATATTCTAGAGATAGATACTACAGTGTAAATCAAATTCAAAATAGCCAAAATGAACCCAGATATGATGTTGTGTTTCCCCAGACTGTACTAAGGCAGTTAGAAAATGATAGGCAGGAGAGAAAATGAATGATACTTTACTTAACTTTTAAGCTTTTTAGGTAGATGTTTTAGGAGTGAGAATAATAAATTAATACTATATACTTTCATAGTACCCGATAATGAATATTTCATATGTGTCATTTAAATTGCATTCCACTAAATCACCAAACATTTAGCAGCTTTTTTTTTTTTTTTTTGAGACAGGGTTTCTCTGTAGCTTTGGAGCCTGTCCTGGAACTAGCTCTTGTAGACCATGCTGGTCTTGAACTAACAAAGATCTGCCTGCCTCTGCCTCACAAGTGCTGGCATTAAAAACGTGTGCCACCACCGCCTGGCACATTTAGCAGCTTTAATCTCATTAAATCAAAGACTAGATCCCAGAACTGGCCCTAGACAGTACGCATTGGAAGATGGCCTGCCCTCCGTTTTCCACCCTTTCACACTCTAACGTGCATGCATTTGTTCGATTTCAAGACTCATGTGCAACTTTTCCCGACTGGCGTGTCTCCTCTTGTGACATGTAATGAACAATTTGATCCGTGTTGATGTTGGTAATGATAAAGACCTATGAAGTTTCAGTGATCAAAGTCGATTATTCAGTTTTGATCAATCAAAGGGAGAATGCTATCCATGTAAAGTATATTAAAAAATATTTTTGGCTAGGAGTAGCACATGCCTTCAATCCCAGTGCATAGGAGACAGGGAGTTGGTTTTTTGTGAGTTCAAGGTCACATGGAGGTCTACATAGTGAGTTCTAGGCTATCCAGGACTACAAAGTATGACTCTGCTTTAACATAAAACAAATTTTTAAAGGGGGCCTACTGAGATGGTTAAAGAGTAAGGTGCTTTGTCAAGCCAAAACTTGAGTTCAGTTCCCAGATCCCATGGTGGAAGAAGAGACCCTATTGACTAAATTTCCTGTTTGACCTTCACATGTGGACTGTTGCATGATACGCAAGAGTAATGATAATAATAATGATAATGCATGTGGACTGTGTCCAGTATGCAAGTGTAACAACAAAAGTAGTGATAGGGATAATAAGCAGTGTAAAGTGTGAACGTTTTTCTAGTGTGATCTAGATTATCTGACTGGCTAGATTCACTCAAGAGTGAAATCCATTAAGAACTACTTTCTTGCGCATATGCCATTGAAGTAAAGATGTTGACAGGAAAGGGATAGCCTCAAAAATGAATCCTCCACATTGATGGTCTCTTTTGTTGTTGTTGTTGTTGGTGGAAACATACAGATTTCTGTAAGTTCTAGGCCACTCTGGACTACATAGTAAGTTCCAGGCCAGCCAGGAAAAATAAAAAGAAAGGACAGATAAGCTATGTGCTATGTCATATCTACTGACCCTCTTTGAATGACAAGTAACTGTGACATCTATTGCCTAGAGGACTAAAAGCCGTACCAATCAGTAGTATTTAAAAAGTCATTTGTCAACACTAGTATATACAGTTGGTGGGTGCAACGTCTATCCGTTTTAACTTCCTGTCTGGTAACAGAGCACTGAAGGTAATTAACTGAGTGAGCATTTTCTCGTTATTCCCAACCATATGCATCCCAAGCATACACCAACAAGAGAAAAGCTAGTTTGTTACATATAGTGGGTGTGTTTGAGAAGTAGAGCTTAATTCTCTCCTGGAGCTCAGGCTCATTGGATTTTTTTTTTTTCCGGCAGATCCTAAAATAATTTTTTTTGACTAAATTACAGTGTTTATTCAAATTTTATAGATAACATCACTTTGTTTTTTAGATTACAGGTCCACCCGGCTGTGGAAAAACTCAGTTTTGTATAATGATGAGTGTTTTAGCTACATTGCCCACCAACATGGGAGGATTAGAAGGGGCTGTGGTGTACATTGACACAGAGTCTGCGTTTACTGCCGAAAGGTAGGTTGTTTTAATCTTTACTATAATGCTTTGCTTTTAGAGCCCCTGTGTACCATTGGCCATTTACACATAGGTTATTATTTAATTTTTGAAAACAAAGGGTGCTAGCTACTATTTTTAAAGGGTTTTTTTTCTTTTGAAATTGATTCAGGAAGCAGCTTGTCTTCTTCCTCTTCTATCCTTTCTTACTGGTTTAACTGGGATTCCTGTGTAAGCTGTGTTTTTATTACTGCATCTTGAAAAAAAATCTCCTCTCCATGGTGATCTAACAAATAAATTTGTTTGTGATCTAACAAATAAAGCTTGCATGAAGATCAGAGTGTGTAGCTAAGTCACTAGTTAGCCATAGAGGTCAGGCAATGGTGGTGCACACCTTTGATCTTAGCACTCATTGAGGCAGAGGCAGTCAAATCTCTGTGAGTTCAAGGCCACCCTGGGCTACACAAGATTGATCCAGTCTAAAAGAGGAACAGAGGCAGTGAGTGCTCACACCTTTAATCACAGTGGGAGTCACAAGCCTTTTATCCCAGCACTAGGAAGGTGAAGACAGGAAGGGAAATGGCTGGGTGGAGAGAGGAATATAAGGCAGGAGGAGATAGAAGCTCATGGCGTTCAGTCTGAGGATTCATGGAGACGGGATCTTGCCCACCTTGGTCTGAGGATTCAGTAGAGGTAAGAGATCTTTCTAGTGGCTGGCTGCTTAACTTCTCTGGTTTTTCAGCATTTATCCCATATCTGATCCTGGATTTTTATTAGTAATACTTTTCCTCTCCTGACTTTGTATACAGTTACATCTGTTTACATACAGATACATCTCTGTTTTTCATACATCTGTCTCCTCTACACATTTCTTCTCTCCACTCTGCTACATTTCTTCACAGAGAGCTACACCTCTCTTCTACATCATGTACTCACTCACACATTCACACACTCACACACTGACACACTCACATACACACTCACATACCTTTCATAGCACAAACACTGGACAATATATAAATAACATTTTTTAGGGTCACATAGCATTTCTTGAGTAAACGATACAGACAGAGCCTTTCTGATACACTAGAAACCATATGGTTTCTCTCAGGCTAGGTAGGTCACGCCAACCGGGCACGGTGAGTAAAGCAGCCATGTAGCTTCTTAAAGTGGTCAGGGTTCCCAGACAGAGAGTGACACTGGAATTCGGGACAATAAACAGTTAGTTGACTAGGCCTTGAGCCCTTCATCACAAACCGAGGCTAGAGGTACATGCAGAAAGTCAGTTGCTGCAGGGAGTTATATCTTAATATTATTACCCTGACTTTGGTTAAACAGATACCTGGGAACTTGCTCTGGGGCATATTTTGTGGGTGCATCTAGTCTATTTTGAATCTGTTCTGAAGTCTAAAATAAATTTTGTAACTGAGAATCTTGTTATTTTCCTATGTCAGTCTGAGCTATGAAAAATATCCTAGTATTATTTCTATTCATCAAAATTATACAGATTAACCATCCACAGATATATGTGTGCCCAGAAGATGAAATATATATATTTCATATTTCATATATATGAGATAGACACACTGGCACCGGGAAAAATACCCCTAGCTGTTTTCAGGAAGAAATGTAGTGGCACATGAGAAAAACTACAGACAGAAGCAACCGATTCACAGTCAGTGACCCCACGGTCTTTACCAAGTGGGGCTCCCCTCCAGAGAGTTATTCATCTGGTGGGTTGACCTGTTGAATACGAGCTGTCATCTGCTGTGTATGCTCACGGCCTCCGGCTGCTTTTTATTAAACCAACCACAGTGACACATCTTCACACAGTATAAACAGATATCCTGTGACAATTCTTTCTCTTTTGTTTCAAATAAAAAGGAAACCTTTTTAACTCTGACAAAGTAAAATTATATACAATAAGAACAATTATCAAGTAAGAGTTACATTTACAAAATTTAGTCCATTTATATTTGGCAAATTTAGAGAAAATACTCTATTATCTATCCTATGTTGGTGAGTCCAAAGTTTTATACCTAAGCCACTTTCTATCATAACTTGTATTACCAACCTAATAATATATATTTAAACCTTAAAACCTTTTTAAAGATAAACAACTTAAGTTTTATGTCTATCAACCTTTATAAGTTTTATATCTTTTTGTAAGTTTCTTTTCTGAATTTGGTAACAAAGAAAATGGTTTAATTATATAGTCTTCAACCCCATCAGAGACCTAAGAAGGATAAAATATTACTTGAGTAAACAGAAGTGCAGGGCAAACAACTTCCAAAACTAGAAACAATTGAGACATCTGACTTTCTGGACAGTCTCTCAGGATTCCTCTGTAATATTGGGGCGGCATCCACCTTCAACCTACAGGCCTAGAATATCTGACGGAGTTTTTTTGTGAAGCAGGAGTTTTGAAAAAAACTGTCCTACCTTGTCTTGGCAAAATTCGGCAGTCACCTTCTTTTGTGTCCTTCTTGTCCAATTTGGATAGCATATTGTCTGCACTGTAGGCAAGGGCAGTTGCCCAGTGGCTAGCTTTGCCACATATAAAAGCAAATTCCATACGGAGGTTCTTCAACATCCATCATCTTTTTTTTCTGAAGTAGATTGGAGATGCCAGGAACAGACCTATCTCACTGTCATGAAAAGCTTTATGTTGGGGCTGGAGAGATGGCTCAGAGGTTAAGAGCACTGGCTGCTCTTCCAGAGGTCCTGAGTTCAATTCCCAGCAACCACATGGTGGCTCACAACCATCTGTAATGAGATCTGGCGCCCTCTTCTGGCGTGCGGGCATACATGGAGGCAGAATGTTGTATACATAATAAACAAATAAATAAATCTTTAAAAAAAAAGAAAAACTTTATGTTATTAAAACATCTTAATACCATATTCTGTAAATCTCTGAAGTGCTTGAAGACCACCTATCTATCTATCTAAAATATATCTATTTAACCTTGAAAACATACCTACTATGACTACAAGTTAGATTGTTATAGATGACTAACTAGTAACTATATTTCTTAATTATCCTAAAGAGTTTATAATAATAACTTTTAAGAACTAGAATTTACATTGCATTTTAAAATGAGCTGCATGGGTACAATACTTTAAAAAAGAGTAGAAACACACACACAGTCTGTTAAAACAAAAGTAATCTTAGATTTGTATCAAATGCACAAAATATCTTAAACAAGAGTAGAAACATATATATATGTGTATATATATAGCATGTTCTAACAAAAATATCTTACATTTGTATCAATATATAAAAATCTATACCAATGTAAAATATTTGTGGCTAATAGTTGCTTTTTAGTTTAAAAGTGGGTCCAATAATCTACCATTTTATCCTATCATTTCTTTATTCCCCTTTTTATCTTTTCAGAAAGAAAACCTTGAGTCTAACCTCTTTTGCTTAGCTGTTTTCCCTGACCATGACCAATAACAATTTGCAAATAAGCCCTGCTAAACAATGACAAGCACCCATAACCCACCGATTGACAATAAAACTACCCACCCCATCTCTTGGAAATGTGGGCGTCATGTTCTTAAAATTACTTCCTGCTGGGTTAACTGTATCTTTAGGGGACTCTGAGAAAATTGAGATAATGGTCAAGTCCTGGGAAAATAGCTGTAACACTTATTGTCCAGTCTCTGTGTATGGGAAAGTGCAGGGCTTATCTGAAGTCCTGGCTGGAGTAGTCTGTGAGGCTGGACCATCTCAGCTAGCAGCTTTGAAGTTGTTCTGAATGCAGATTTTTGCAGAAAGTGCAGCAGAGGCACTCTGAGAGGCTGGATCACCTGGGCTACTTGTCTTCATTGGTATCTGGTCCTTTTTTTTCCCTGAAAATACACAGACTTTTAAAGGTAACATACATATCTGCATTAACACAAGTATGGAATGTACAGTGTGCTCAAGTCAGTTAAAGATGATTCTCTGCTCTACATTTGATCAGGTAAAAGACAGCTGTCAACTTTTTAAGTCCATTTGGACTGTCTAACCAAACTGGAATATAAATCTCCATTCATGCCATATAAGAGGATGGCATATAAATAATAAAGCATGAGAACTCTGTAGTCAATAAGATTTATTACGTTTCCTCCAGTCTCAGAGCTGTTCCCATGCGGAAAATCAGCATAAATGTCACCTGTCTTGTAGTCTTTCCTGGCTTTCCCCCTCATATCTGCAGCCAAGATCCTCAAGATCCTCACACCCATCAAATCTGATCTTCACTAACCTTGAAGGAATCCATAGTTTTTTTTCTCCCTGTGCAAACAAGGTATATCCTTTCCCCCAACACAAAACATTTCCTGACTCCCATTTTGAAATTAAGGCACCCATAAAATATATAGGCTGATTTAATTCATCAGTCCCTTCCTCAATTCAGTGTCTCTCAGCAGTGGTTGTTCTCTATTCATTAGCATTCAAGAAGTGTAAAGTTAACAAAGCACCATAGGTCCAAACTCCCTGTGTTATAATATTTCCCACCCTTACATGGCTTATTCTTTTTATATAACTTTACACACTCTGTAAAGACTTTATTATTTTTGAAGCATTTATATTTTTATATTACAGTCTATATCCATTTTATTTATTTATTTATTTATTTATTTACTGTATCTGTTCAGAAGTTTTCTCTGTCTGAACCCGGCCTCACTGGGTGCATGCTGTATTCTCTGACCACAGGAGCCAAACCTGAAAGGGCCAGGCAATCCGCCGCATGGTTCTACTTAGCACATGGCTCTGGCAGCTGGCTCTACTCCAGCTTGGGTTTGTGAGAGCTGAGCCTCAAGCCTGTAGGCAGCAGCTGGGAGCCACACCTCTGTATGCTGTGAACACCAGCCAGCCTAAGGGACTGTGGGAATAGGAAGCCATGTCTGTCTTTGGTTTGTGTGTTTGGAACTCTTTCTCTCTCTCTTTTTAAAGCTTTTTCAGGTCCTATGTGGATATTTGTGCCTCCACTTTGGACACCATATGTAGTCAGATTTCCTTGTTGGGACCACCAACT